GTTTTACGCGATACTTATTACGTCAGCACGTTGTTTTTACTAGGGTTTGTTTTGAAATGATGTCTATTGATATGTTGAATCACGGCCAATAGTTTTAAATATTTTCTAGGAAAAAGTATTTAACAAACATTTTAATTCCATAGTACAAATTTCTTTTACCGTTTTGTGAACACTTACACATAAACTTAATTGACATAGAGCCTTTGGTGGATCTTTTTTATCTGCAATATTTATACTTTAACTCCCTCTTGTTATTTTTGTAAAATTATTATTAATATATATAAATAAAGACAATTCCGAATAGTGCATTTTAGAAATATCTAAAAATTTATTAAACTATTTAGTGTGAAAAGGATCAAAATATAAACATTACACAGCAATCTAGTGATTTCCAATAAAAGGGGAAATGATGTATATATACATATAAAGCCACCGAGTTAAAAATATCCTTTCGAGTGTTTACTCTCTCTAATCTCTCTCATTTAGTATGTTTGGAATAAGAATTTCTCACGAATGCAAAGTATTGATGTTTAGGTGACTTGAGTTCACTAGTGACATACTAACAAATAAAAGAGAGTTCTTACATGGAAACAAATGTTCTTTGCTGCAAGAAATATGATAAATGGTCATTACCCGCCTGGGTCGACTTAAAACTCTTTTCTCGTGCACAACACAATATCGTGACTTCGAAGTCCAACGATTTATCCTCATTCGAATATCCGATATCTATCTTCCACTTTTCTGACAAGGAGATGATTCTTTGCTCTGCAATGAATTACTATCCGTTCCAGGATTTCGGATATTGAGTGAGGATAAGATCCAGTTAGCATGTACACTATTGTTGAACTTCATTTCTCTCTCGTTTTTGCTTATCGGGCTTTTAAAGCGTAACACCAAATGCTATACAGATTTTGCGTTGTTTCCAAATTGGTATCCATTATGTTTGGAGTGTTGAAAAAATTACAATGGCTTTCAGGGAGGGGAAGTGAATTGTGCTACTTTTTTACTCTTTCACTCTTACCTTAATATCTATACTCTTTTTTTTTTCAGGTTCCTGTAAGTGCTGAATATTTTCATCGCGCTGTAGGGTAGCATTTTATTTCCCTAACATTTAATTTTGATTTGGGAAACAGCTTTCCGTTACTTCCTCATTTTCCTACCTACGCTTTCCAGCCTAAGTGAGTTTACAGTTTCACGCTATACGCAAAATAGGCTAGAAACTACTGAGGTCTGAGCTACTTCATATACAACGTAATCTGCCACGACCACGTTGTCGGCAGATTACGTTGTCGTTGCTACTTAAAACCACGTTGTCGACGACGACTTTGTCGTTGCTACTTAAAACTTGCTATTTTACGGGCATGCATATTGATTATTAGCCAAAGAGCCAACTACGCTTTAAATAACTCAATGCAGCTTTGGCTGATTATTCAGGATTCACTATCAGGATTAGTGAATTTAAAGTAAAGTTTTAGTTTTACATTTTCTGATTTTAAGTTGAAGCCATAAGTGCTGGCTTCCTGTACGCCCAATTGCGGCCATCTATGAATATATCCGAGTTAAAATAAAAGGGTACTTAAACCCTTCTCCTATTGTTGTTACTGACAAAAGAGAACTTAGCGAATAGCTCTTCACAATTATATTGGGTTCTAGCACTCAAATAACTTTAATTAAGCTAGAATACTATAGGTCATCTAAATTTTGCATCCTACTTTCACTTTTTCCCACTAAATATATATTAAATTTAATGTCAGATTTTTTTTTTATTCAATAAAATCTCCCAGTGCAATTTTAGTAGCAAACTGATCAGAAGTACAAAAACATAGGTACAAGTAAGTGATCAATGCATGATCTGGAGAGGATGATCTGACATTTTTTTAAAAATATTTTTAAGAAGCTCCGGTATAATTAATTTTTGAATCATCAAATTATGCATTATTTAGCAATATATTATTATAACACTCGGTAATAATAGCACATATTTATATTACGCACGATTTTATCACAAAGTGGGGGGGAATAAGTCTCGAAGAAGTTTTTCTTTGAAATATTTAAAAAAACGCTTAAAATCAAATTTAACAAAGCTTTGTAAAGATGATAATAAAAATTTATAACTGTAAGTTTAGTTATATCTAGACATAATGCACTAATACGCTTTGAAGGAGATATATTTGTAAATCTGTATGATTTTTATATGAATCCGAAATCATTAATTTTCTGTAATATAAGAAATTTTCTCCCTCCTCCATCATGCCTTCATGGTGTAACGGTAGCACACTCGGCGCGTATTCAAGGCTCTACAGTGGCACCCGAACTAAAAGGTGTGGATGATAATTCGTCAGTGCCAGGGTTTGGTGAATGGGTCCCCTCACAGTTACCCTTTAAAAGGGGGCGTATACAAGGTATTTTGTCTCTCCTCCAGCATGCTTTCGTGGTGTAACGGTAGCGCACTCGGCACGTATTCGAGAGATCTAGATTCGAGTCCCAGCGAGGGCATTGCACATTTTTAACTTCTATTCTTCAAAGGAACCTAATGATTCTACAGTGACAATAAAAAAAATAAGGAAAAGTTTCGAATTCATTCATGGAACTCATTTGCATTTTAACCATTTAACTTTCATTAGATTACATACAGTTATAAAAAGGTTTTCAAAGCCATCATGCAAATTTGCATACATGTAGATGAAGAACTAGTAAAGTTTTTTCTATCAGATCACTCTTTACTTACATTATTAGCAGCACATTTTCAAACAGCATACATTCCCTTTTGAATTATCTTCACAATACAGCGGGTTTTTAAAAAACATTTAGGTAATAAAAATACATTTAGAAGCAGTTGACAAGCAAAAATATTACTAATAGTATTTCTCAACATCGTATCTATGTAAAATATTCCCAGAAAAACGCGAACGAAAGCCAAACGTGTTGGAAGTGCCAGCTTTCAGAAAATTTAGAACTCATTTTTGTCTTACGCGACCTATCTCATTTTCGTTTCCACGAGGTGGTTTAAAAAATGGCTTCTAGTTCGAGTAAAGGTAGGGCTATGCGTATAAATAAGGGGGAAAAAACCTTTCTAAATCAAAAGCAACAGCAAGAAGAAAAAAAATTAACGCCACTGTCAAACAAACGACTCCACGCACTTCTTTTCGCTGTTATTTTTTAACCTCTTTTATGTGCGTTATTTTCTTTCCACAATTTACTGGGCTTATGTTGCAGAGCTTGCAATTCCAGGGAAGAATTTACATATTCTGCGGCTGGAAATTCCACTCATGTATGACTCAAAGAAAAGATTTCAAAGGTAGAGTGCCTCATTTGTTGCAGAGGAATCACGTAGGTACCGTGAGGACTCCAAATCGCGTAACCGATCGTAAAATTTCTTACTAGCTCTATGCTGCTACGTGTTTCGCAGATCAAAGAGAATATTCGACGAGTTAGAGAAAGAGCCCCTCTTTTTTCTTCTTTTTTTCTTCTCGGGCTGCCACTAGAGTTTCGACAATTTAATGAGTACATATGGGAGCCGAGACGAGTTTAAATCCCATGTATTGGACTGTAAATACCTCTTAACAGATTTTAAAATGTTTTTTATCTTTGGGTAACAGTAGGGGGTTCCTTTATTCTTGCTTAAGCTCGGAGACTGCGCGAAGTATTTAGGAGTTAATTTCAGGTAACTGCTTAAATTATGTAGGGAATAATTTTGACTACTTTCCCACTAGTCTAGACTGCTGAGTGTCAACTTCGCGACCACACACATACAGCATCATTCAGTAGGATCAATCACAATAAAATATCACAACATCCTTTGATGAATTTTATTTGATATGACTATCAATGCTGTGCGTCGATTAAACATGCAGCGCAATTTATTGCTTATATTTTTTATCTTATTCACTGCCCCGTGAAGAAAATATAGAAGCGAACTTTCGCTATGAATGTCGCAAAGTATATACGAGTATTGGCGTCATTCCTAAATGTATTCGTAAGAAATTCTTATTTTGAAAGGTTCTGAAATAAATTAAAAGTATTAGTGAACTGAAAGCATGTGAAAAGTGAGCATGTATAAAGTTAAAACTTGTAAAGAGAAAACTTTTCAATATCAAAATATGAATTAGTAATGACTTCACAAGCACAAATTACTAATTAACATATATAAACTAAATTATGCTTATACAGATTTTTAGAAATGAATAGGATGTCAGGAAGGTATTTCTAAAGAACGTTAAAATGTATTTCTAAAGAACGTTAAAATGTATTTCTAAAGAACGTTAAAACGTATTTCTAAAGAACGTTAATAAATGGAGACTAAAGAACTACTTATATTTATAGCCTGATATATTTTAATTTTAAAAGAGTGAAAATTTTTTAGCTTAGTTAGCTAGCTTCTTGACATATAAGATGTGATCAGCAAAAGTATTCAGGATGCTAGACCTGGAAGAATTTTATCTTTTTCCCCATTCCTTATTTAATTCTTTTTTAAAATACAGTGTAGTTATTCGCAACAGTAAGATGAAATCCATTTTAGGAAAGGCTATAGCTTTTAAATTATTATCAAAATTTCAAATGCCCTGCAAACACAGTTTTTTTTGGGGAACGGATGCATGTAAATGTGTGTTTCTTGAGAGATATTATTATTATTATTGGTACGAAACTCCGAATGATATTATAATTTTATATGCAATTCTTAATTATTATGAGATATAACTGTTCTTCAAACCACTGCTTAGAGACAATGTTTGGTTTCAAAAGAAAAATTCATTTACAGGTTAATAGGAAAATCTATTTAACAGCTTTTTACCACTTCATATGCAAAATAGTAAATAAACTTTATATATGATTTCAAACAGAAAATTAGGTGCAGTTTTAATAAAAACATATTTAACGACCTTCTCTACATGACAATAGTCTTACTGATGTACATTTAAAGATAAGGAAAACGTAGCAACGAAGCTTTACACCAGGTAAGGTTTTACACCAGTTTACACCAGGTATTCTTGTTCTTACAGGCAAAACACCAGTAATGATTGGGACGACGGATAATTGAGATGTTCTTTTCCATGACAATGGCAAAGGTAACAAAATATAATAATATTATTGTTATTATGATTAATTATTAATATTACTGAGATCAGTTTTCTTAATGCATGTAACTTTTCATACATTATTTTCATAAAGAATAATAGTCAAATATGGAGCGGTAAACTACAAGCTAGGTTATTCGAGTACGGCAAAGCAAGCGAGGACTATCTGCCAAAGAGAAAAGATATCTACGTGGAGAAATCTTTGAGAGAAACTGGCTCGTGATCACATGATGGAAACCATGAAAACGAACAATTTAGCCAGCCTGCCCGCCTGGGCTCGAATCCTGGTGGAACTACGAATGCTGTTAACCACTCGACCATCCATGGAGCTAATTTTGTAGTATTCTGTCGAATATTAGCTTTTGTGAAGAGCTTCGCATAACAGCCCTTCATATCTACATTAGTTCGTATTATATTTTAACTTTAAAATGTATGGGCAGTAATAATTTGCCGAAGCATTTACTCATAACGGCATGTCGGGTTCCTTACCCTTGTAGCCATATATTTAATTTCAATGTTCTGTCTGCAAAGCTGCTTACAAAAATAATTTGAAATAACTATTACTAGCATCCTGAAATAATCCTCGTTTGTTATTGGAGAATGTATTCTTAAATATTCGCTATACACATATATATATATATATTGTGCAGTGCTATAAACTGGACCTATGATGAAAATAACTTGTCCACATTTGGTTACGGAACGGTTGTAATCTGTAAACAATTAGCAAAAGAATTTCAGAGATTGTATGTTGTAAACTTTTTATGACTGACTCTGGATACAATTTCGATGGCTTTTGTTTCCCTTTACAGCCACTGGTACGCAATAAACTTATAAACTATCAAAAGTCCTCGCCGATTCCACGGCGGTTTCTCAGGCATTTTTTTCCGTTTGTTTCATTATTTCTCATATAGGTTGGCATCTATAGATGCCTTAACATCTCACAAGCTATATCGTACTAGCTTGTGTTAGCTACATTGTACTAAGTCTGACAAAGGAAGGAATGTCTAATCTCGATGAACACAAAAATAAAATATTTGACTTCAACTGCCAGCAGAATGCACTGGCGACGTGGAATATTTTCTGATAAATAGGTAGCTGTAAAAGCAGACAACTCGTACGTTCTCACCCTTGAAATTTTCAAATGGCAGAATCATTTATATTATAAAGACAAAGAAAACGATTTCCTTTATTTCACATTCAATATTAAAAATGCATAGATTCAATGTCTTAACTCCGTTTAAACTTGTAGAGACATTAGGTATATTTGATGCAGGAGACATGAAAAATGAGCAATGACCCCGCCGGAACTCGAACCTGGACCTCTCGAATACGCACCGAGTATGCTAACCGTTACACCGCGTAGGCATGCTGGAAGGAGGAAGAAAATCAACGGGGATTTAGGGGACCCAATCGCCAAATCCTGGCGGTGAAGAATCATCACCCACCGCTTTTGCTTTTGGAAGCCACTGCAGATTCACTAGGTTATTTTGAAGCAGAAATACGTGAAAAATAAGCAATGTCCTCGCCGGGACTCGAACCTGGACTTCTCGAATACGCGCCGAGTGTGCTAGCCATTACACGACGAAGGCTTGCAGATAGGAGGGAGAAAATAGCTTATTAACGGAATCAGAAAAACTAGACCTCATTCTAACTAGTAAGTTACGTGTAAATTTGCCGAGAAAACGCAAAGTTGATTCTATAAGAAGACTATGAACAATGTTTGAAACCTTCTTTGGCTAAAAGAAGAGCTAAACAATAGAACAGCTTTCAGTTTTCCATCATAATTTTTCTATCATACAAATTCGAATTTAATTTTTTATATCATCGAGAAGCACCTAAGAAACTCGTACTGATTATATTATGCTAATGCAAGTTATTAGAAACATGAATTGTAACCAGGAAATGAGTCTGCTATTGGGTTATCCCCAAAACAATGCGTTTACTCCGCTCCCCAACTGAACTAAAAGTATAAGTTTGAACTGAACTCCCGCATTAGCTTCCTGTAATAATATATAAGTGCAGCTTGTTCTTATTCATAGTCCAAGTTTTGAAGAGTGCAGTACGACCTGAATAGTTATTTTTAGCTAAATGGAAACGACAAGGAAACATATTCGGCAGATTTTTATTTATTACTTTAATTAAATAACTATTAACAGGAATATATATATAGTACATGCGGGTCAGATAAAAAGTGTATACCGTTATCAACGGTGTTCCAGAAAATCCGAACCGGAAACTGCAGCCTAGAAGACGAACCTATTCCTCGAAGATTTCTCGAGCTCGTAACTACTAAGAACTAGCAAAGGATGAAGTAGAATACATTTCAGATTTAAAAAAAAGAAATTTGTTTGCATTAACTTTGATAAAATTATAGACACTCATTATTTTTGGGATGACCTAATATATATGTTTTCTATATCTACGCGTAAATTTCTTGATGTTCAAACATACAGATGTACGTATAAGCTTCTTGAAAAATATACTATATAGAGAGTCTGATCTTTTTTGGTGGCATTAAATTAGCATCAAACTTTTCAGCGAATTATCGATGTATCGGAAGTTTACGACAGAGAATTGAAAAGGTTAAAATAACCATTTCATTAAACCAGAACTTGAACATAAAACACACGTCTTGTGCTTACAAGATCAGCTGCCACTTTTGGCGATGTAACTCAGGTAACATCGCCACAAGTGGCAGTGTCAAACTAATGACTCAAGTGTCAAACTAATGACTCAAGTGTCAAACTGATGTAACTAGTACATGAGTACTTAGTTTGACACTTGAGTCATTAGTTTGACAGATTTAGCTACTGGGTTTTGTTTGACATCAAGTGTCAAACAAAGCCCAGTAGTCAAAGATTACACAATTGATCTTAAATTCTAAATTGGCTCAAAATTTCTCACCTGGGAATTAATTTAATCGGCAGCAATAATTCAAAGCCGAAGAATTACAATCTTATCAGAGCTGGGGCAACTTAGTAACGTGGCCTTGAGTGGCCGAAACACGTTTCGTCTTCCAATCCGAAACTCTATACTTTAATACTGTCTGACTGATATTTCTGGTGCGGAAACGAGAAGGAAGAAGTTATAGTAAAGGTCTAAATCATAATAAATAACCATAATAAAGGTATAAATCATAATAAGGAAAATAATAATTATAAAACTAAATATGATTAATGAATAAAGTTTTAAATAAAATACATTAATCACTGTACACAATGAACAAAATCTTGAAATAACTATAAGAAAACATTTCTATGACTGCTCTCCAACTTTCAACAGCCAAGTGGAAACGTATCAGCCAGAAACTATAATCCAAAACTGACATAAACCTGCAAAGAACAACAGGAAAAAAGCGCGCATGAGTAATTTATTGGGATTTAATAAAACAGCCTGAGGACAAAAAACGTAAACAGACGTACGTAGCAGTTCTGCGAACAACATTCTAAACGACTGCTTGCGAACGAGCGAGCATTGGGAAAAGAAATCTGTGTGCGGTCAGATGAGCTTCGGATTTCTTTCATTACTCATGCTTAAATTTAAACACAGCCACCGACGTGTCTTGACCCCTGACGTGGAAAATTTCCGCTTTACACTTCTGAAATATGACATGTAATGCGAAAAGCCACGCTGGCAAAATTTCGGGCGATCGCATTTCCATCTCCCCCTCATTTCCAATATTTGTCAGGGGCTTGCCACATATTACCAAACATGTGTTGAAAGTGAAATATGCATTTTGTCACAGCTGGCAGTTTTGGTTAGACACCTTTTTGCTTAGAAAAGAGAAACTTCAAATACAAAGAAGTGAAAAATTACGAACTTCACTATGATTAAAGATTAGCATGATTTGTTCATTCCAACAGAACGCGAAGAGTACATTTTATAAAAGAATTTAGGAGTACCATTATTTCAAGAAGAAAAAGGCTACGTAAGTCAGCAATACTTTCAAATTTTCAGGTGATTGAGCAGAACAAATTCACGTACAAACTCAGGCACACATTGATATTAACATAAGATCATACCTATTTAATTTACGCAAGATACCAGATAATGTCTAATTTATTTTTCTTTTTTTTTTTTTTTTTTTTTTTTTTTTCAATGAGAAGATATATAAGAGTTGTAAAGTAGATATTTCTCGCGAGTATCGACTGAAATTAACTTTTATTTTCCCGAGGGAGCATTTGCCAAAAGTATAAAGTGGTACATACCTAACATACATTTCTTTATCTGGACCAACGAACACCTACAAGGCTCACATACAGCAGCATTGCAATATCAATGCAATAATTCAGCGGTAATGCATTGCAATAATGCATTGCAATAATTCAGCGGTTCTCAACATTTTGACTAACGCGTACCATCTAAACAAAAGTTGAAAACCTTTAGCACCACCACTGCAAAGTACAACTACCACCACCACTCTTGAACAAAGCTCAGATCGTTTAAATTTACGAGTGTTAGAGAAAAACCTCAATTAGGATGCTGGGGTTTTAATTTTTTAATTTAATAGTTAAAAATACGTTGGTTCTTTGCATACCACCTACTGTTCTCTTGCGTACCATCGGTTGAGAACCCCTGATCTAACTGATATAGCGAAACATTTCGCTTCTTATTCTCTATATCAGTCTTTAATGCTAAATGATGAAACTTGGCTGTTTCTGAACCTCTTGAGTTTACCAAAAAAAGTAGAAACAAAACTGCGTAGAGTTCATCTCCGTCTCAGTCATTTGCAAATCAGTTTAAATATATTCAAATTAAGAAATTCGTCTAGTTAAATTATTTGTTTTAAGCACTTTTCCCTGACACTGTTTTTTTTAACTGCAGCATAAAGTCATTCTTTGACGAATAAGACTTTGAATATAAGGATTAAAATATCTTAAAGATCAAAAGATTAGACTGAAAATTCAGAGGCAATTCTATTAACTTTGAAGAAAACGAAAATTACTGTTCAAAGCCACAATTTTCTAAATACGTCTAAAGAAGCCTAT